CCGAACATTCAAGTTTATCCGTCTTCTCGTGTTGCGTTGGTAGGCCGGTGAAAAGTGTTTTCTTCTCCTTAGTTATCACCTGTTGTCGATTTTTGCTCGTCAATTTATTTATTTGGCGTTTAGTTTGACGGCATCATCAACGCAAATCTGTATCAGACAGTTAGTCTTGGTGGCCTGTGGAAGTTCATGAGAAATTCTGGCATAGAACTCGGTTGAAGGCCCAAGTCGAGCCCCATGCATGAGGCCACAGAAAGTTTGGTTCGGCCAATCAGACTTGTTATAGGCACGGGGGCTCAATCGTAATGTCCACAAAATAGGGCTATATAAAAAAGGGGGGACTTGAGAACATGAAATGTACACGATCTTGGACGCAGTTTGAACTGATTTCTCCACTCGGAGCACCAAATCAGCCGTCGACATGCAGCCGTGTCACTTGGTGTTGTCATGTCGGCTGGGCAGCCGGCGCGTCTGCTCGCGCCATGCCAACAGACCCGTGCCGGGCGTAGATTAGTAGAAGGAAGGTGGTGGCGATGACGTGGGCAGGCGTATGTACAGTTGGTGGAAGAGAGCAGCCAACCTCCTCGTCTGTCGCATCTTAATCTGCCCTTTTGATCGGTCGCCAGGATCCAATTGTCACACCCGTGCCCAGTCTCCTCCCCTCGGGAACAGCCTCTGCTCCCCTACATCGTGGGCAGTTGCCAGACTACCATGTCGGTTAGGCACGGAGTCGTGCAAGTGCGTACATGCTGGCATGGGCATACAGACATACTTGAATGTGCTCATGTGCCATTGCCTAGGTGTGGTGTGCGGCTGCACAAGGCCCGTCTCGAGGAGGGGGTGGGTGGATAAAATGGGATAAGACTTGGGCGAAATGGGCTGGAGGGGTTGAAGGAGGGTTTCTGGCCGAAGGCAAGTGGCGGAGAATGTGGGTCTCTGATCGGCACTGGCTCGGTCGGGAGACAAAGGCAGACTTCATTCTGTCACAGAATTGAAGGAGGAAAGCTTAGTTGGAAGATAATGAGGATAGAGACTGTCAACTCGTCCAAGTGGTTCGGACTAGATTCAGTCAATTTGTGCTACTCCCTCTCCACGCCTATTTGTCGGCATGTCTTTGTCTGTGTATGCATATGTGTGAACGGAGATTTGGTAGGAATATTTATAAAATGCTTGACTGGCCTTGATGGTAGCATCCCTTTCACACCTCATTCTCTTTTGCCTATAAAATCGCGCGGCTGTAGCTGTATTGCCCTGATTGAGAACGGACTGTATGCTGCCTCTTGTATGTGTGTATGTGTGTTTTCAGATATGCACACGCCCCAGAAGCCCGTTCCTTCGAGTCTGGCCGAGCTGGAGATTTGAGTGAAAAGGCCTAACTGTAATCAGTAGCAGTGACCTGCCAGAACACTTCGATTTCTCCCTCTCCCCACTGGATATGCACAAGCGTGCAGGCACACACACACTCTTCTCTATCCTCCCACGCACATAATCATGGGCCCCAGCCTCGTCGACATTGTAGCTTCTACCAAAATTATGGTACCCTTCTCGTCCCTTTTGGTTGAATGCCCCCTCTTTTTCTATTCTAGCCGATTGCCCAAATATTATGGCACAGTCCCGACAAAAGTCAGTATCTGGGCCCCATTTTGGGCCTTCGCCTCGAAGTTCAAGCGTCCATGTCATGGGGCTGAGATCAAGATAGTCTCTTCTGCATAGGGCGCTTGAAGTCCGTTAATACTGTATCTATTTTTCGTTTATAAGTCGGTTCTCGAGACTGTACCTACTTTGTTGCTGTCTTCCTCACTCTCGTTTTCTAGTTCTGTAATGCCGTTGTCTACAGGAGACTCCCTTTGAACCATCATCAGTCACCACAACCGATTGTCACGGCATCTAATCGTGACACTCCCTCACGTTCTTGTAACACCGTCTCACTGCCCACCCAACCCAAACCTTTGGCTGGCTGCATACAGAAGTAGCCGAGAGAGTTTAGACCGACTTGCTGATAAGTTGCCGCTCGTTCTTTATCGGCTTTTCATGTAGGCATCCTTATGTGGACAAGTATATTCATGTGGGCCTTACAGCCGATCCAGATGGGCCAACATTTTTTCACATGAAATTTTTGCATGGTTCGACCATCACAGGCAGACGCACACGTACACACATAAAATAGGCATAAACATCCCACCTTTCCTCTTCACTCTACCCTGGAAGATACTCTATCACTCCTTAATTATGTGGCTACTTACTTGGGTCATTTGGAAAAAATTCCAAGATTTGTGACCATGGCCTAATCTACCTCTCTAGACTATGTACGGAAAATGTGGATTTATAGAAGTTGCATGGGTACTCGTGTTAGCATTACCTGTTGTTCAATATTTATAACCTTGTGTGCGTTTATTGCATTTTGGACATCCTGATCTTTTAGTAAAATTTAAATTTTTTCGTTTACCACTCTACGGATATTATATCTGACGTTCTTTTTACGTATCAATGATTTCTGAGGCTCTTTGTTACCATTTTTACCCGTCCGGATAATTAGAGCTTGACTCTGGGGTAACCACAATCCATGAAAGATTTATTCTGGTTCGTTATACTATTGAGGAGGCTTATATGCAGTATTTTGAGATCACTTCACACACTCACCTTCGAGGGCAATGTAGGAATCCACTTTTGGCATCCCAGCAACCTCGGCCAGTCCCTGTGTCTTAAGCTTCGGGGTCACAGTCTCTTTCTAAATCTATTTTTTTTCGAGTTGTATTTCAGTCTACTTGGTGTTTGTGCGTTCAGGTTATTTAGTTTTGGTCAATACTGTGTGAAGCATGTGGAGATGACTTGCTTATTACCATAAAGTGGGTATCGAATCTTTTATCATGCAAATAGGTGGGGACTTTGGTATGTTGCTATAAAAAATCTATTGGTAATGAGTAGATTATAGAGATCTAAAAGCTTGTTGCCAATTTTTGTGTGAACTCTGGTAACTACTCATTCCGAAGTAAGTAGATCATATGGCTTTGTTCACCATTTTTAGTCTAATTTATATACAGGGTAGTTCTTGAAGCCATCCAATAAAGTAATCAGGAAATCATTATTGCATTTTGATGGTCATTCAATCAATCCATCTCTTCTTCATTTATTCTTCTATCTAAACGGTAGCCTAAAAATTGACTTAGTTATTAGTTCACTTGGTTGCACTTTTATTCATTTATCCAGACGGATGCATATAATCAGTTAGTGAGTCCATCCGTCCGAAACTCAGTTAATATATCCGCTTAACAATGCTGATAAGATAGCCTCTGAAACTAATAGAGATCGGGAGACCAAAATAGCGTGCCGTCTATTCTGGGCACAGTCTCCTTTCACTTACAGAAATGGTTTGATCTCCGTTTTAAAGGTGGCCCAGATGAATACATCTTGTCCGAAGTCTTCTGCCATAGTGGTAGTGATAAAAAAGTTGGTACATGATTGCCGTAAGACTTCCAGACACTCTAACAGTGGGATCTTGTTGCAACCTGGCGAGGCCGAGTCTACAGTTCGGCTAAGGTGATAGAGTCTATTGGGAATGCAGACTAAATGAACTCCCGTGACCATCATACCTTCCCAAATCATATTTGCCTATTTCGCTAAGGTGACACACAGAAGTGTGCCTTGTCTGTTTGCGTAAATCGCATTCTAAGCTGATATATCCTATATATATATATATATATATATATATATTCATCTTCACTAGAGAGAAGAGGATTCAGAACCGAAAAGTTCGCATCATTACTACCTCTAGAGGGATGTATTTGAGGCGAGAAGAGACTTGGAACTTTTTTACAATCCGACCTATGCGCTAAGGGAGAGGAATCACCAAATAAGTAGTTGGCATTTCACAAGGGAGCCAACTATGATTGAAGGCCATCGGTACGTTTTGATTGGCTCTGTCCCAAAGTCTTATATGAAAATGCACCAATTTATCACATACTTGATTCTTTAATCAAGTATGATTAGAGGAAAAGTTATGATCTAAATAGCATTGGCCGGGTCACTAAGACGAATTATTTATTGGGAGTTAAGTATCGCTCGGCACTCGGCAGCCCGTTTGCGCTCCTGAACAGTTCGGATGGGGATACCGACGGGAGGGTTGGTGAGGCCGTTCGCGGAATAAGTCATTCATCTCCTTCCCGTGAATGAATCTCGTGGGCAGTTTGAGCGATAGGCGACGCTGGATGGTGACTTTCTCGTCATCCCCATTCGTTGCCATTTCGTGAAGGTGTTTGCAGTTGACTCAAATGCATTTGTTTGACTGAATGGCCACGCTCTGGTGTGCTGGAGCCGTTTTCCTCCCCACAACCTTGGCTAGTTTACTTCGACGCGAGAGGGGCGAGCGTCCAGAGCGCGTAGACAGGTCGTATTTAGTTTGTTGTCTGGCCAATTTGTTTATCCTACACATGCAAACAGCCTGTCTGGCGCTAGCCCCTCGATCCCCGGTTGTGGTACCGGGCCAGTCTACAACTGGCGCGTCTGCGGCGCCGAAAAGTCGGGGCCAATGTGAACACGAAACCGCAGGGTTAAGTCAGCCCGACGAATAGTTGCCTGGCCTCACTTCAACCCTCCTCGACGGGCTCGGAAACCGACGGAGGCAACCGCGTTGAGCGGTTCCAAGGGCCCGGCAACCCGGTCTGGCGGGTTGAAGTTGGGCCGACCTGCCCGCCAGGGGTCAGGGTGAGGACACCGCCGTCTTCTGGTACCGGACCACTTCTGACAAGCGGACACCGCACTGTAGCTGTACCAGAGCGTGCCTCGCCTCTTTCGGCCGCCTTGCCGACGGTACAGACACAGCGAAACCCGAGCGTGCAAATGTGTGTGCGCAACGGCGGAGTTGTCTACGCCCGGGCCTGACCGTCTCGAGCCGATCGCGCTCTTTCGCCACACGACACACTCACTACCCCCTTTCCCCCACCTCATACACACATGCACTCACACACACATCTTCTGGCTGCATTCTGTGGCCGCACCTGGTTGTCCGGACGACCAGCCAGATAGGCATGGTTGCTTTGGTTATCCGTTACTCTAGGCCGGTTGCCAGTGCATTCTTCCTCTCGTCCGCTCAGTCCAATCCTTGTGCATATATGAAGCACACACACACACACACACAGGTACACAGGTACATAGGCACAGAGTTCGTAGCCAGTGCGATGGTGGTTAGGTGGACGAGAAGGTCCGTGAAGGCATACAGTCGAGGCAAACACGCGTGAGATAAAGTACCGAAAAGTAGCTGGTGCGTTTTAGAACCCCCCTCGGAGGCGCGACCAAGTGAAACGAGAGAGGATATCTGCGATAGAATAATGGGCTTGGGCGTGAATGGCATGCCTACTTGTCTACCCTTGCCCGACTCTAAGACACACCGAGACGACTGCTATTGGACGATTATTCCGCCTGTCGCCGTGAGACCGCGACAACTAAGCGATCTGACAACTGACCCACCTCTGAACTGAAACCCTCTTCTAGCCTCAACCAGCTCGTAAGGGCAATCGGTGGATCATTGAAGCAGTCAATCACAATGCCCATCAGTCAGCCATTCAACCAGTCTGCCAGTGGTTCGGTTAACCCGTCGGTTGGTCACTAACTCATTGATTGGCTCAATTATTATGTCAATCATCCAGTCAGTATAAGAATATTTTGGAGGTATCGGAAGAAGAATGGGAATGATTCTCAATAACCAATTGGTCATTTTGGGTAATTCGAAGACTGATAGTGTAGGTCTCGTGATGCTATTCCCTTTCACTTGGACTCGAACTCGCCTAGCTCTTCCACATCAGAACCCTCAACGAGGTTCGAAACCGGACCGTGGGTATCGTTACCACTCTGAAATACCGCCATGGATGTCAGTGGCTCAGAGGGAGGATGTGAATTTCAAGTCAAGTCGGGCCTGTCCCAAATCAGAGAAAATTGCATAATTGTTGAGCTTACTTGCATTTCGGGTGAAAGTGTTGGGTGAAGAGATTCAAAGGTGGGTTCCACCAGAAGACGACGGCGGAGACAAACACACTCGCATGCATCGAAGTTGACATATGATCTTAACTAACCAAATCCCTTTATACCTGATCAAAGAGGCCAGATGTAGAGTAGATATAAGGCTTTTTAGGGATTTACTGGTGAGTTTTATTGACTCATTAGCTTCAATTTATTTGGGACGATGACACCTTGCTCTGATGATGTTCGTCACATGACGGACGAAAGCTTAGCACCTTTTCACCGGAATCGAAGGAGACGACCTCGGAAACGCCGTCAGCATGAATGTTCCAATAAAGCCAATCGACAGCTGGTCAAGAAGAATCCGCCGTCGTCTTCTGCTGGAACCGACCTTCGAATCTCTTCACCCAACACTTCCACTCGAAATGGAAGTAAGCTCAACAATTATGAAACAAAAGATTCCTTGAAACTCAACTTTTCTTCGCATAGAAAATTCCATGACCATTTTTCGTGTATAATTAGTTTTCCTCACCACCGAGCCGCATTCACCCTATTTCGTTTAAGGTGGCCAAGTATTGGTAGTTCAATTGTCCCACAATCATATGAGGTGTTTAGAAACTGATAATCGAATTTTCCCACAATGATAATCCCACTAAAAGGCCCGGATTTCCTTTAAGTTTACTTCTGCCATATAATTCAAGGGTACTCGTGGCAGTGTGGAGTAGTGGTTGAAGAGATTAGACTGCATACTGTACTACCACAACCCGGGCTCGAGTCCAGCCGAGGGTGCTGATGAGGCCAGTTCAGGAGAGGTCAAAACTGGCCTTTTGGAAACAAGGCTCTGTGCAATTGAATGGAAACGTGAGGCCTACTTGTCTGATTGTGGAAAAATTCAATTGTCATTTGCTTCTCACTTTAAAGGGAACAGGGTGGGTACAGCTCCGATGCATAAATCGCTCTAACATGACTAAGTTCTAATTCAAGAATTACTAATACTTCCGAAATATCATCACATGGATTATAAATAGCGTCATCTATTGCAATGACTAATACACATTTGTTAAGCCTACTTCCGTTTCGAGTGAAAGTGTGAGGTGAAGAGATTTGAGACTGGATCCCACAAGAAGACGACCACCTGCGGATCACAAGGCAGATGTGAATTTCAGTGTAAGCCAGGCAGTGTGAAAATATATTTTCTTAAATTCGTAATATTTGGCAAAGAAAAATTGGTTTTCAATGAACGTCTTGGTCACAGTCGATCCCACCAGAAGACGACCATGATTCCCATGAAAACGTGCTAAGCCATCGTTCGCAAGAATGGTATCCTACTTTGATGATGTCCGTCATATGATGGACCAAAGCTTAGTACACCTTGACCGGAATCGAAGGAGATTGCCTCGGAAACAGCCAATCGACAGTTGGTCAAATGGAATCCGCTAGTGGATCGACTTTCGAATCTCTTTGCTAAACACTTTCACCCTAAATGGAATTGAACTCATCATTAATAAACCAAGAGGTTGCTTGAAACCCAATTTTTCTTTGCAAAATGTTACGACTATAAGAAATTATATTTTCACACTGCCTAGCTTACTCTGAAATTCCAATAAGCCTTGTGATCCATAGACGCGCGTGGCTGTGTAGCCAAGCCCAAATATAATTTGATTGTGAGAAATAATTACGTTACTATTACTTAAGCAACCTAAGGTGATCGAGATCTTTATTATTCCCTCATGTGTTCTGTATACGTTCGAAGTAGAGAAAGAGATACCTCCTTCATTAGGAAAGGTGGATAATCATCTTCTCTCCTATTCCATTCAAGGCCGAATCTTGCTCCCGTCCAGAAGGAGATCAGGAAGCTGAGGGTGGGATGGGTTCCAGGGGTTGAGCATAGTTTCACTATACCAAAAACGAGCACCTCTTGCAAAAGTATTCACCAACCTTATTGCTCTTCTTTCATGCTGACGTTTGGGCAACTCTTAAGGATTAAAACAGTATTCACACTTGATTGCCTAAAGTGTATGATTACATCTTGAATAAGAACTGCAGTCACTCTGGACCGATTAAGCATAGAAGTAATGCTGTCGACTGTTTGCAGAAAACTGTGAATTAGGAGAGGCCTGGCTTTCCTTGAAAAGCATGTCTGTCCTGTGGCACACTTGCACCCGTGTCAGTGTGCGTGGCGGCAACTTGTCGAAAATAAACGCTGCACTGCCAGCGTTTGATTGCCGTTGGGGTACGTGTGAGACCTAGGCGAGGTCGAAACTGCTTTTTTGTGCGGACGTAAGTATGGGGGCGTGAAGACTAAATAAAATGCACTGGCATCGTCAGGCCAACACATAAGATTCTGGGAAAACACACTATATCGCTCTTTCATCAGCTTAGGCGACCTGTGCTGACTAAACTTCCTATGCCACATGTACTACTCGTCTCGAAGCCCCTACTTGGCATAAACTCTGCCACGCTGTGCCAAATATTTCCTTTAGGACTGAATGACAAACGTACAAATAATTCGAGAAGTTGGTAATTCTTTAATAGAAACTTAGTTCCTTGGGGTGTCTAATGGTGATTGAAAGACCGGTAGAGCAGCTTTTCCTACCATTATGTTGGTAGGCCACCGGAAATGCTGTATCTTTAAAGGCCTCAGTTTTCACCTCACTTTGTGATCTTATTAGCAGTTCAGACGGAATTGGAAACCGAAGCATGTTCACAATGTTGACACATTGTCGCTCCGCTACACAACCACAAATGCCAGTCGGCCTCACAGGGCAGATGCAACTATCATCCTCGCATAGATCACATTTTGATGAGATAAACGCGAATGTAGCCGCGTCGGATGTTTCAGCATTCTCCCATCCTTCCAGCAGATCTTCACTGTGACCGCCAACATCAGCGGACGAGGTCGTGACGACGTAACGCCGACGCAAACAGTGCACGAGGGCTGTTGTTTGAGAACAAGCCACTCTCGACAGTTCATGCATGCTGGCGGGCCGAAGCTGTCAACGCTGTGTGAAGCTGAAATGGCAACCGATCCTTCAACCTTTCCCACCCTCTTCTTGCTTTCTTTCCTGCCTTATTGCCCGAGCTCTCTAGCGGAGAGTTGTTAAAGCCTCATTTGCCGTTTGTACTCGTCCGACGGAGTTAATGGACTCTCTCGATGGGCAGCGTCTAAAAGGCCGAGCCCATTTGAACTCTTAAGGGCAAGACAGGTTTTATGGCACGAGGATGGAAGGCCGATTTGCGGAACACCACAATGCCATAGTGAGAGTGGTCGCTGTGTCCATCTGTGCACATAGCTCTGATGAGGCGGGCATGCATAGATAAACATGGCCGGCAGAAGCTGAGAGGTGAATGGAAACCATGGGTTTTGAGAGCGAGTGGTAAATGTGTTTGACTTTTGTTTAGAGCCGTGATGTCACCAGAAGCGGCATATTTACGAGTTTCTATGAACTTTCTGGTCGAGCGGGGCCAGAAGAAAACGGGAGGGGCAGACGTTCACTGAGTCGGCAGAGGAAACAAGGCCGGTCGAGCAGACTGAACCAATTATGCCTCTTTTTCTGACTAACAGACGCTGGCCGAGGCCGGGCACCTCCAGACTGGAACCCTTTTTGCTGGCCTCTTGGCTCCGCGGCTCCTTTGAAGGCACAGCGGGCCCTAACTATCACTCTGTGTGTGTGTGTGTGTGTCTCGTTGGAGGCAGCAGTTGAGTGCGGTTGGCTTGGAGGCTAGTGTTTGGAGGGAAGCCCAGCCTGAGGGGACTATGCGACTTAGGCAGGACCCTAAATTTGTCCCAAAACCAACATTGAGGCCGCTCCTAGTCGAATGGGGCTAGACAGCTTTCTGTCGTTATGACCAGTCTGGAGTGCTGCTCAGATTTTGGAGTTATCCCGCAGCTGTTTCACTTCGGATAATAACATAATTTATCAGGCCTCCATCCACTCGGATGGAAATCATCCGTTAGCTGTACACAAAGCTCTTTTGAAGCAATCCAGTTGTAGAAGACAGCAGAAAATAAACTGCTTTTCAAACTTTATTTCATTATAAAAGTTGTTTGAAATTGTTTTCGCAACTTGGTCACATTAGTAGGAAGACGCAGTCTCCTTTCGCCGAATACAAATGGTCTGACCTCGTTCTCGCAATTTAGCCGGGTTGTCAAAGCGAACTGGTTAGAAGCACCTTGTTCGAGGTCTTCTGCTTTAGAAGTTATAACACCTCCCAGCGTCAGACTGTGGACTTGGTACATTTCCAGACGTTTCGCCGGCATCGTCAGTAAGTCTTGCTACTCTCAGCACCATGCTACAACTCGTCAAAAAGACAAGTGAATTTGAACACTTTGCTCTTTGACGATTTGTAGCTTGGTGCTGATAATGGCAAGATTCACTGACGATGCCGGCGAAACGTCTGGAAATGTACCAATTCCACGGTTCAACGCTGGAAATTAGCATAACTTCTAAAGTAGATAACTTCGGACGAGATGCGTCCAACAAGGTCGCCCTGACAACCCAACCAAGTTGCGATAACAAGGTAAAATGAAATGTACTAAGGTATGAAGACCAAGATGGTGTGGAGTCTTGTGTGGTCTCAGTCTCCTTTCGTTGTATACAAGTTATTTGACCTTGTTTTCGCAACTTGGTCATGTTGGTAGGAAGACTTAGAGGAACTCGCCTAGTCTGGAGTCCATTGTATGCATCATCATTTGCAGAGTAGGACCGTGGACGTGGTACATTCTCAGATGTTTTGCCGGCATCGTCAAG